GCGGGCTCCCGTCGCGCCTCCCTGCCCCTTGCTGCTTCGGAAGCCCGGCCCGCTGGTCGCTCCCGCTGGGTCTGCCCTTTCCCTCGCGGTCTGCGCGGCCGCTGCTGCTGCTGCTGCAATGGGAGGACGAGGTGGCGAACAGGCTGCAGTCCGAGTGGGCTGCGGAGATTCACTGGGGCTGGGAGGTGACGCTTCAGGAGCAGGGACCTGTGAGCGAGCGCAGGACAGCACCGACGCGGGTGCGAGGCAGGCCGGGCTGCGGGGGCTCAGCCAGGCACGCGGGACGCGCTGACAAGTTTCAGGTGAACCAGTGTCTTGACAGTCAGAAGGAAGCAACATGCTGTGGTAGACCAGCAATTAAACTAACTTATCACACCTTTTTCTCACGTGTGACGCCTCTGACTCCGTGCCTCAGTCACTCCAGGCTTCGTGACACCTGCGATTTCTTTTCTCCAAACTCCTGTTCCCCGAGATTTCTTAACAAATGTGCTACTGCTGAGAGGACCTTAGCTTGAACAAAAGATTTGCTAGGTCAGGCCATGTTGTATGAAGTTTATGACACTTTAACACTTAAATGTAAATCTGTAAGTTTTGATATGAGGTAAGGTCATCTTCATTCATTTCCAGAATTTTTTGATTTCTCTTACAACACACTGTTTATTTAGAAGCATGTTGTTCAGTCTCCAGGTGTTTGCATACATTCTTGAGATTCTTGAGTTGTTGGTTTTGAGCTTTAATCCGTTGTGATCCGAGAAGGTGGATGGTATGGTTTTGATTTTTTTGAATTTGCTGAGACTTGCTTTATGGCCTAGTGTGAGGTCTATCCTAGAGAGAGTCCCTGCACCACTGAGAAGAATGTGTATTCTGCAACTGTGGGGTGAAAAGTTCTATTGATATCAGTTAGGTCCATTTGGTCTGTAGTGTCAATTAGCTCTGTTGTTTCCTTGATGATTTTCTATCTCTTAGATCTATCCATTGATGAAAGTGGAATGTTGAAGTCCCCCATTACTATGCATCAAAGTCTATGTCTCCCTTTAGATCTGTTAACAGTTCTTTTAAATAGCTACTCTCTCTAATGGGGTGCATATACATTTATTATAGTCACATCTTCCTGTTGTATTGATCCTTTAATCATTACATAGTGTCTGTCTTTGTCTCTTTTAACTGTTTTGTGTTAAAGCCTATTTTGTCTAATATTAGCATGGCTACACAGCCCTTTTTTCCCATTATCATGGAATATCTTTTTCCACCCTTTCATTTCAGTGTACATGTATCTTTGTTGGTTAGGTGTTTCTTGTAATAAGCACATAGATGGTCTGGTTTTTTAATCCATTCGGCCAGTCTGTATCTCTTAACTGGAGAGTTGAGGCCATTTACATTCAGGTAACTATTGATAAGTAACTACTTGATCCTAAGATTCCTATTGTTTACTTTGGATTTCTTTTGCAGTTTTACTGGTTTTCACTGCATTTGTATTCTTTCTTGATGATGACTTTCTTGATGTGTTTCTGTGCGTAGCACAGCCTTATGAACCTTTTGTAAGGTTGAATGCATGGTGACAAATTATTTCAAATTCTGTTTCTTATAGAAGGTCTTTATTTCACCTTCATTCATAGATGAGAGCTTTGCAGGGTACAGTATTCTAGGTTGGCAGTTTCTTTTACTATTTGGACTATATTTTGACATCATCTTCTAGCCTGTGGGGTTTCTGATGAGAAGTCAGTTGTGAGTCTAATTGGAGATCCTCTGATAGTAATCTGGCATTTTTATCATGCACACTTTAGAATATTTTCTTTATGCTTAACTGTGAAAAGTCTAAGTACAATGTGTCATGGTGAGGTGAAGATCTCTTCTCATTATCTGTTAGGAGTTCTATGTGCTTCCTGTACTTGGATATTTGTTTCTTTCTCCAATTTATGGCATTTTTCTGTAATTATTTTACTGAGTAGGTCTTCTAGTCCTTTCTCTTTTCCACACCTTTAGAAACTCCTAAGACCCATATGCTGGACATTCTTCCAAGATTTGTCTTCTAACTCAGATATTCTTTCTTCTGTCTCATCAATTCTGTTGTTATAGGTTTGCACTGCATTTTTTATTTCATCAATTGAATTCATCATTCTAGTATATCATTTTGATTTCTCTTTAAAAATTTCAATTTCATGGAAGAATTTTCATTCATATCATATATGGTTTTCTTTAGTTCATGGATTTGCTTCTAATTCTTTTGAGTAAAACTAAGATTAATATTTTGAATTCCATTTCTGGTATTTCCTCAACATCTTCACATTCACATTCTAATATTAAAATGTTGTGTACCTTGGGGGGGGGGTCATAGTGTCTCCTTTTGTCTTGTTTCTTGAAGTTCTACATTTAGTTTTAGGCATTTGTAGAATTTTTGTCCCCTCAGATGGCTTTTATCTTTGAGCTATGCCTCTGTGGCTTAGCGGATTGTCTATACATTAAGTGAATACCAAGAGGTGTGTGAAATTTATATTAAACTTATTATTCTCTGATAATCTAATTTCTTTAGGGCCTCTATGACATGTTAGGGTGCTTGGTTTATAGGATTAATGTAATAACCCTGAGACGTTGTCTGGCCTGGAGCCCCTGTTCCTATTAAGGGATTAGTATGCTGTGTGAGTCCCAGTGGAGAGAGCTGGTCTGAATCATGTCAAACGTGATGGGAGGCTTGTGATAGAGAGGGTGCAGAAGGAAGGCATGTAGATTTCATCATTGCCCAGAATTAGCTTGAGGAGGGGGATAACTTACAGCACGCAGTGAACCAGAGGCACCAAGATCAAAGGCTGACTGCCATGCATCCAGGAAGCACAGGACTGTGCAGGGAAGAAAGAGGAGAGCAGATGTGACAATCAAAGAAATCTGAAAAAGGTTTGGTAAATGGCTCTCAATGGGCCACATGGGACATCTTTATAGGACAAGTTGAGAGGGGCCATGACAGGTTCAGGAGATTAGTTGATTTCTTTTTCTCATCTCTTCCTTTGCTCCTTACTCTTCTTCCACTCATCTTTTCCCCACAGGGCCAAGAATTAATTGACTAAACCACAAGAGGTCCCTGGGTGGAACGCTACGCTGTCCGTGCACCAGCTGGTGGAGAACACGAATGAGACCTATTCCATCGACAATGAGGCCCTGTATGATAACTGCTTCTGCACGCTCAAGCTCACCACACCCACTTATGGCGACCTCAACCACCTGGTGTCGGCCACCATGAGCAGGGTCACCACCTGCCTGTGCTTCCCTGGCCAGCTCAACGCCAACCTGCGCAAGTTGGCCGTGAACATGGTGCCCTTCCTCCGCCTGCACTTCATGCCCTGCTTTGCACCTCTCACCAGCCCCGGCAGCCAGCAGTACCGCGCTCTCACCATGCCTGAGCTCACCCAGCAGATGTTCGACTCCACGATGGCCGCCTGCGCCCCGCGCCATGGCCGCTACATGACGGTGGGGCCATCTTCAGCGGCTGCCTGTCCATGAAGGAGGTGGACGAGCAGATGCTGAATGTGCAGAACAAAAACAGCAGCTACTCCCTCGAGTGGATCCCCAACAACGTCAAGACGGCATGTGCGACATCCCGCTGCGCGGCCTCAAGATGTCGGCCACCTTCATCGGCAACAGCATGGCCATCCAGGAGCTGTTCAAGTGCATCTCAGAGCAGCTCATGGCCATGTTCCAGCGCAAGGCCTTCCTGCACTGGTACACGGGCGAGGGCATGGACGAGATGGAGATAACTGGGGCCGAGAGCAACATGAACGACCTGGTTTCCGAGTATCAGCAGTACCAGGACGCCACAGCTGAGGAGCAGGGCGAGGTCGAGGAGGAGGAGGGCGAGGACCAGGCCTGAGAACTTGTCACGTGCGTCGTGCCCCTCAGTGAAGTGGTGTCCTCCAGCATGGTCCATTTGTCTACTGTGGTGCCCAGTTTTGCCTCTGTCAGAAACAAACCATTGATGTAATGACATGGAACTCTTAATTATTTATTGTCTGCTGATATCAATACTAATAAAAGCGCATGTGTATAAATATATATATGTGCATAACTATTTATTATAGGGCCAGGGACCTAGTGGGAAGGGGTGGACCCTGCCAAGGACATCCCCACTGCCTCTGCCCTCTGTTCTGAATTCTCAGCGGTAGATTCCTGGTGTTTAGGTCCGGATTCTTCTTCCCAAGCTTTCAGAATAAACTGAGGCATGAAGGGATGAGTCAGGACCATCAGGGGTGGGGGGCTGCCTTGCTTGCTGAAGGAGTCATGGCAGATTTCTCCCTTGCCCCTGCTCCTACATAGCCCATAGCTGTTGTGCAGGCCAGAATGGAGTCTTTTCCTGCTTGTTTCCTGGAGCTGGGTTTGGAGTGGGGCAGGAAAGGCCCTGCCCCAGGAGGAAGGAGTATGGGGCAGGGCATTCACCCAGGGAGGGGGTGGGGATGGGGGTGGTGAACAAAGCCATAAAGCCCTCTGACTCCCCCCATTCTGTGTCCCACTGTGGGAGTGGCAGAGGCTCGGGGAAGCAGACAGGCCACACTAGGATGGGAAGGGGGGCACTGTACCCAAAAGAAGTTTTTATTTAGTTTCAGAACTTGTGCCATGACCCCACCCAACTTCCATCTCCATCTACCTGGGACCTGTGGAGGGGCTGGGACTGAGGGAGGGGGTTGGGGGGAGAGCGAGAGCAGGCGGGGCATGGAGAAGGCTGTGCCACCCTAGCCCTGGGCCTTTTTATTTTTTCACAAATGGCATTTTATTAAAGGCATCACTTTAAAAATTTTGTACATTTCAGGAAAAACATTCTGGCATCATAAACATACACATTTCAATATGCAGAATTCAAAATTACAATAATAAACACAGAAACTTATTTTTGTACTAGTTGGTTATTACTGCACTACCTTGAATGCTTTATCAGAGTCCAGAAAATGAGACAAGCCCTAAAAATGTAGCAGAAGCATTTCCACACACTGCTATCCATAATCTAGTCTGTGCAGAAATGTTTCCACCAGATTCATAGAGTAGTCTTAGGAAGAAAGAGGTCAAGAGTGGTCATCTGGTCGCCTTTCGGACCTTCTGCAACACTTCAATGGGTTTCCATTGTTGGTTGATTGTCACAAGCTTCTGAGGTACATTTGGATTCACAGTATCCCAGGGTTCCAGATTTCTTTGGCGATCAACAATCACGTTGATTTTCTGGAAGGAATACAGGGCGAACGTTGAGGCTCTACTCGCTGCAAAGGTCATGATGGCCACTAAAGGAATAAGTTCCTTCTTTTTCATCAGGAGTTGGAAAAAGCCCATGATGACTTCAGTGTAGGATGCAGAATCTGTAATTTAAAAAAGAAAAAAAAATTCCAAGCTAGTTGATTTCTTTTTCTCATCTCTTCCTTTGCTCCTTACTCTTCTTCCACTCACCTTTTCCCGACAGGGCCAAGAATTAATTCACTAAACCACAAGAGGTCCCTGGGTAGATGTTGACTTTCATCACTTCACCTTCCTCCTCTATCAGCTGGGCCAAAGAGGGTGGCTGCAATGAAGAACAGGTCATGCCCTAGAGAGGGAAGGAAAACTGTTTCTCCAAGGAAGAGAGAAAACCGTGGAGCTGGCATTTGTCATCTAACAACAGATCCAGAAGCCTTTCCTAACAGTCTACAGGTTTCAGGTCAGCTTGGGGGATCTCTGCTCCAGTGCTCTCAGAGGTTTACCAGGAGTCCCAGAGTGAAGAGGGTTCCTTTCTCCTTTTGTCTCATCATTACCTTCCACCCCTTCTCTTCCTGCCCCGATAATGAAGGCAACACAGGGTAGTGAAACCTAGTTTATCCACCAAACCCATCTCAGTGTTAATCCCAGCTCCCATGCCTGCTGCTTCTGTGATTTTAACCAGTTATTTAACATTTGGTTTTCAGTTTCCACCTTGTAACTTTGCTGTGGGGATTAAGAACAATGTACAACTCTCCTCTCTGCCCCATTCGACAGACAGCCACTTCTTCTCGTGCAGTGCCAGTGCATCCCTGAGACACGATGGTGAAGGTCAGAGTGAATGGATTTGGCCGCATTGGGCGCCTGGGCACCAGGGCTGCTTTTAACTGTGGCAAAGTGGATGTTGTCACCATAGCGATCCATTCATTGACCTCCACTACATGGCCTACATGTTCCAGTATGATTCCACCCATGGCAAGTTCCACGGCACAGGCAAGGCTGAGAACGGTAAGCTGGTCATCAACGGGAAGGCCATCACCATCTTCCCCGAGCGAGATCCCGCCACCATCAATTGGAGTCATGCTGGTGCCGAGTATGTTGCGGAGTCCACTGGCGTCTTCACCACCATGGAGAAGGCCAGGGCTCATTAGAAGGGCGGAGCCAAAAGGGTCATCATCTCTGCTCCCTCCGCCGATGCCCCCATATTTGTGATGGGTGTGAAGCACGAGAAGTATGACAACTCCCTCAAGATCGTCAGCAACGCGTCCTGCACCACCAATTGCTTAGCCCCCCTGGCCAAGGACATCCACGACCACTTTGGCATCGTGGAGGGGCTCATGATCACAGTGCATGCCGTCATCGCCACCCAGAAGACCATGGGCAGGCCCTCCAGGAAGCTGTGGCTTGAGGGCCGTGGAGCCCCCCAGAACATCATTCCCACCTCCACTGGCGCTGCCAAGGCCGTGGAGCTGAATAGGAAACACTGGCATGGCCTTCCGTGTGCCCACCCCCAACGTGTCAGTCGTGGACCTGACCTGCAGCCTGGAGAAAGCTGCTAAGTATGACGACATCAAGAAGGTGGTGAAGCAGGCGTCCGAGGGCTCCCTGAAGGGCATCCTGGGCTACACCAAGGACCAGGTCGTCTCCTGCGACTTCAACAGTGACACTCCTCCACCTTTGATGCTGGGGCTGGCATTGCCCTCAATCACCACTTTGTCAAGCTCATTTCCTGGTATGACAATGAATTTGGCTACAGCAACAGGGTGGTGGACCTCATGGTCCACATGGCTTCCAAGGAGTAAGAGCCCTCAAGCTCTTACTCCAAGAGAACCGGAGGATGACAGAGAGGCGCTCAGCCGCTGGGGAGTCCCTGCCCCCACTCAGTCCCCAACATGCTGAGAATCTGCCCCTCTTCACAGTTTCCATCCCAGAGCCCCTGGAGGAGGGGAGGGGCTTAGGGAGCCCTACCCTGTCATGTCACCATCAAAAAAGTCTTCTGCACCCCCCCAAAAAAGAACAATGTACAAAATACTGGTGCAGTGTTGGGAAAATATCAGTAGGCAGACGCTGGTAGGTAAAACAGTGTCTGGTATACAATACATGCTGTATAAATGGCTTTTAAGTTGAGAGAGAAATAGAGAGCCAGAGAGAGAACATAAAAAAAAAAAACTTCAATAAGTACCTGGTATATAATCAGACTTTTAATATTAGTATTATTAGTGATTATTAAATTGTGAGTTAAATGTTAAGTGGCTTGGTTCACATGATTTTTGAAAACCTCTGCAATAAAATAAATCACAGTATTATAAATTCCCTGTTGGTGTAACAGACCTAAAACAATGTCTTGTATGGTGGTTTTTTCCAAAAATGAACTTGGGGCCAGCAGAGCAGTGTAGTGGATAAAGCTGCCACGTGTAATCCCAGCATCCCATATGGGCATTGGTTTAAGTCCTGGCTGCTCCACTTCCAATTCAGAAGGCAGTGGCAGATGGCTCAAGTGCTTGGGCCCCTGCACTCACACGGAAGACCTAGAAGGAACTGCCTGCTCCTGGCTTAGGGCTGGCCCAGCTCCAGCTGTTGCAGCTATCTGGGAGTGAACCAGCTAATGGAAGATCTCACTCTGCCTCTCCCTCACTGTAACTCTGCCTTTCAAATAAATTAATTAACTTTTTTTTAGATGACATTAAATTTCTTTTGCTCTGATCCCAAGAAAAGGTGGTATTTACTCTCCTCACATTGGATCTTGGCTCTGTAACTACTCACAGGATATGGTGGTGTGGAAATAATGCTTCGACCTACTACATCTTGAGGTGCTTGCCCTTGGAACCCAGATACTGTGCTCTAAGGAAGGCAGTCATGGAGAGGTCTCTGTGAAGAGCAGACGCCAAGGTAAGCTGAGCTCTGAGGTGACACATGAATGACCCATCCTGAAAGTGCATTCTTCCCCCAGTTGAGCCACCTGCTCTGAACCTGCATGCAAGCTCAGAGATTGGTTGATCCTTTTGAGCTCTACCCAAGTAGATCTGTGAGCAAATATTTTGTTTTCAGCCAATAACCTTGGGAAGGTTTGTTATGCAACAATAGAGAGCTTGGTTTCCCATATGACGTTTATATCTCCTCTACCTTATTACTTCAGTCATCTAACTTCCACTTAACTATTCTGTCATTCGTCAAACATTTGCTGAATATTTCGTACAGGTATTTTTCTAAGCACCAAGGTGTACATCAATGAATAACACAGATGTCTTGGCTGCATAGTTCCTCATCTGGGGAAGAAGAAAGGCAGAAATGCAAAAAAAAAAATAGAATAAATATATCTGGAATTGATGTGGGTTATGTAAGGAAGGAGAGATAATGATAATGGGGTGTGTGTGTGTGTGTGTGTGTGTGTGTTGGGGACAGGTGTTACTATTTCCAATAGGATGGCAGGGAGTCAGGGAACACTGTCTACTGAGGGAACATGGCAGCAGGGATCAGAAGTGAGGGAGCTGGTTCCATAGAGAAGCTGGATCCACAGAGAAGGAGGATCCCTTGCATAAGAGAGCAGTATAAGATATCTTTTTTTAGTTTTTTTAAGATTATTTATTTGAAAGGCAGTGTTACAGAGAGGCAGAGGCAGGGAGAGAGAAAGACTCGACCTTCCGTATTCTGGTTTCATCCCACTAACTTTGCACTGTGTTTGTTCTTTCAAAATTTATTTAAAGTGTGGGCATTGTGGTGCAGTAGGTAAGCCACTGCTTATGAAGTCCACAATGCACTATAGAGTGCTGGTTCAAGTCTCAGCTACTCTGCTTCTGAACCAGCCTCTTGCTAATGCATCCTGAGAGGCAGCAGATGATGTCTCCAGGACTTGGACACAAGGCACCTACTTGGCAGACCCAGCTGGAGTGCTGCGATCCTGGCTTCAGCTTGGTCCATCCCTGACTATTGTGGGCATTCGGGCAGTAAACCAGCAGATGGAAGATTCTCTGTCTCTCTCTTTTTATCTGACTTTAAAGTCAAAGAAAATAAACATTTTTAAATGTAGCCTTGCTTTAAATAGAAGTAAAAAATTTATTTTAGTATCTATTTTCTTTTTTATTGTCCCCATTCTTCCAGCGTTTTAATCTATTGGTAAATTATATCCTTTTGGAAATTAGCAGTATACAAGAACAAGTTTCTGATAATTTAGCAGGTCTTCCCCCATTATGATTTTATGATTTTTATTTAAGCCAAACAAGAAGTCAATGGCAGATATAAAAATCAGATTTGGGGGTTCATAGAAGATTTAAGAAGTAATAAAAAGTGCATTTTATGTCATTTCTCAATCTTTCACATGGAATTTCAATCCTTAATTATACTTGACCACTTCTATTGACTGCAAAACAGTCTATTATGCCATTAACAAAAGGCTATTTAGATGTGTATAGCATCTCTTTTAATGCAATCTTACACCTATGGTAATAGAAGCTTTGTATATTGTTAGCAATAAATCTTGCAACCTTGATTTGCTAATTTCATGGGTGTGAAGAAAAATGTGTTTTTATGTAGTTCTTAATGTGGGGACCATTTCAAAATGGCCCATTAGGACTGGGAATCTCAGCTGGCTAGGGTCTGACTATTCTGAATAAAAAAAAAAAAAACAAACATAGAAACAGCATGACCACATCTGTATATTGCAGCAAAATCATCCATTGAATATTTGATACAAACCTCAGATCTTCTTGCTAATAGTTTTAAGAGTCAGCTGGTGGTACATAGCAATACATGTGACCCTCCAGACCTCCACAATGACCAGGTTGTCTAAAACGGTAGTCTTTCACTAGGAGGTCGCCCGCCTGTCTCTGCCTGCACCCCGGGTGTGTGTGTCGGGGGGACACTAGGAGGCCGCCCGCCTGTTCCTGCCCGTGCCCGGGTGTGTGTGTGTTGGGGGGGACACTAGGAGGCAGCCCGCTTGTCTGCTTAGGCCAGACAGCTTACTCCTGCATTTCACTCAACCCGTTCCGGTCTCAGCTCCGCCGAAAACCAGCCCTTGTACCCTGTGCTCCATAGAAGTCTCTGCTCCACTCAGCGCTGGGGTTGGCTCCTCCGTTCTTCCTGACCCTGTACCTGGAGCCCGAGCCCTCCATGGGTTCCACTCCCCCTG